AGGGGTGGGTTTCATCGACCCAATCGAGCTTGGGGTGGAGCTTAAGCTACACGTCCGCGTCAGCACCTCTTCGTTTCTCTTCTCTTTCTCTTCTAGTGGGCCTTCATACTCGTCTCACCTACATTTCCCCTACCATTTTACACACATACACACACATAGATACACATAGATACACATAGATACACATAGATACACATATATACAGGGACCAGAACTCAGCAACCCTTTTCACCCTCCTCAAACTCTTCACAGTCCATCTCTTTCATCGTCACCGTTCTCCTCCCCCCCTACCCTTTTTCTCACCCTTCTTCCTCGTTCGGTTTCATCTAAATCTACACACATACACATTTTTAACTGTTATCATCCCTTATCCTCAACCACCTGATCCTCAAAGACACCTTCAGTTCTGATGGAAACTCATTGACGACAATTGTGTCGTCATTGTGAGCTTCCACGAAAATATTTGCAATAAATTTTCTTTTAATTTTTTTTTATGTTTTTTTTTTTTGAATGGGGTGATAGTGGGAGGGATAATTTTAAAGGGGGTCGATCGATGCACCGAGGTGAATTTTTTTTTTCTTTTTTTTTTGTTCGGGGGCAAAAATGTCGATTTCCATTTTACCCTGACTCCTGTTCTTCTTTTTTGTTTTTTTTTTAGATCGCAACAAATCGACGGAATGCTGGATGCTAGTTGCTTTTTTCTTTCTTTCTTTCTTTCTTTCTTTTTTATTCTTTGTTGGTTGGGGGAAAAAAAAGTGTAGGATTCTAATGACCAGCTGTGATCGGTTGGTTGGTTGGTTGATTGAAGGGTTAAAAATAAAAAAAAGAATCATACCAACGTTTTAGATCTTAATACACGAATGATTGCATTGTTAATGTTAGATAATAATAATAATAGTAATAATAATAATAATAATAATAATAATAATTGTTATTGAAGTTTTTAAAGTGTTCGGGGGTGGTTAGAAAAGAAATCATGAGGAAGGAATAAGTAATTTTTTTCTTCTTTTAAAGTTATGCTAATTTTATTCATTTTCAAATATACGTTTATTATACATATATATAGTATCATCATATTTTATACATTAGCACAAACTATTATTAGTACTTTTTTTTATTTAAAATGATTTTTTTTTTCTGGTTGAATTAATTTAACAAGACATTTTCATTCTACTCTACTTTTATCAATTTTCTTTGGAAAGAAGAAGAAGAAGAAGAAGAAGAAGAAAAGAAAAAAGACAAAGTCTATTCACAAATACACCAGCTGTGTGGTCGTTTCATTCGAGATACAAGAGAGAACAAAAAATATTATTCTACGTTTTATAAATGGGATCATGATGATACATTTGGTATTGCTGCATTGGACGTTAATGAATACTTGGAACTCGAGTTTTCGAGGGAAATAAGAAAAATAATAGAAAAAAAAACGATAAAAAAGATATAAAACACATTGACTAACGTTAGGAATATTTTTCTATTTTTTGTTTTTTTTATTCTATTTCTTAAACATTAGAAATATTTTTTTTAATTGAATTTAAATTAACATATAACATATATTCGATCAGACTTGAAGCTTCACAGCACGATCTGGCAAAAACCAATGCCACATCAGCGTATCAGAGGGGCTCATGCGGAGGAGGTCTAAGAAGTGGACCACGGACCACTTCAGGGATCTCTGGGTGCAAGGCCCGGTCATGAGGCACACGAAGGCTCTGTTTTCAGGGCCCTCGGAGAAGCTAGGTACCGAGTTGATCAACCTGGACCGAGCCCAATTGAGGCTGGTTGTAGGATTGGTCACCGGGCACTGGCACCTTAGAAAGCACCTCACGCGATTGGGCCTTGCACAAGACTCGGTCTGCGGCAGGTGTGACGAAGGGGTGGATACCCTCCTCCATCTCATAACTCAATGCGTTCGGGCTCGCGGACGTCAGAAATGATGTCCTTGGGACCACCGCCAATAACTTCGACCTAGTGGGCTTAGGGGCGACCAGACTGCTGCGCTTTGCAAGGGAGTCGGGGCTGCCCGCGGGACCGCTACGGTCATTGGTTTTTCCTCGCAAGGGGCCCGGGCACAATGGTCCAGAGACTGAGCAGCGCCTGGGTAAACAAACCTCAAGAAAACAAATTCTCCCCATAGTATTTTTATTATTAACAATATTAAATTGATTTGATGTTATGTTGTTTGTGAAGTGAAAAAGAAGTAACATAGATGAATTGTTATTATTATTATTATTATTATTAACATATGTTGTTTGTTTTTTTGATTTTAGATCAAGCACCCAATGGAACCCAAGTGGAACACCTTGTCTCCATATCGACCAATGCCTGTGAGTAATTTTTACCATAAAAGGAACAATTTGATTCCCTATATAATAAGTTATGCTATTTTGTTGTTGTTTTTTGTTTTGTTTACTTACTGCATTAATGATTTATGCAATTTTCTCAAATGTTTTTTTGATTTCTATCGATAACAACATATATATATATATTATATTATTCCATAAATGAAACTTTGACATTTTTATGAAAATTATTGACAGGGTTTAATTAATCCATTAACTGCCACGATTCCCATTTGGGAATTTTGGAATTTTACATACACCATTCGCGGTTTTATGTGGACTGTATGATAAAATGGCATAATAATTACTATTTTGTATATATAGGAAATAATAACAGAAATAAATAATAGTAGTCTCTTATTGGTTTTGTTTGTGCAACCAGCCACAATTCCCCATTTAAAAAATTCCCCTTTTTAAAAAATATAAAAATATTTCTGTAACCATCAATAATTTGCCAGTTAATGGATTAATTTATTATAATCGATATAAAAATTTACAAATTTACGTATAGAACAGTATAATATTTTTACAAAACGTATATTTCATATTTGCATTAGATATATGCAATTGTTTATTAAATTTTTTTCACAAAAATCTGTAAGAAATGTAATTTGATACGTTAAAAATCGATGTGTGGTTCACATTTATGTCTAAATACGAAAACTATACTTAACTTGGTATACTACACAAAATTATTTTCACACATACACACACATACACATACACATACACACGTGACTGTTTTATATCCATCTTGTGAGAATCAAAAGCTCTCTCTCTCTCTCTGTCTCTCTCTGTCTTTATCATTCTAAGTATTTTTTGTCTCTTTTTATCCTTCTCTCTCTCTCTCTGTCTTTCTTTCTCTCTCTTTCTCATACGTTTCACAAAAGTTCAGTTAGAAGAGAAATCAGCTCGGCTTTCTAACTTTACTTCTCTTCTCGAGCTTTATTGTCGGAACGAGTTAAAAAGAAAACCCAGAAAGAGAGAGAGAGAGAGAGAGAGAGAGAGAGAGAGAAAAAGAGAGAAACTGAGAGAGAGAGAGTAGAATAGAAAGAGAAACATACGAAATGAGAGAAAGAGAAATAGAACTCACAGGAATGGGATGAGATGTGTTGGGTTTGGATGGAAGGGATGAAAAAGGGGGGATTGAAGAGAGAGAGACAGAGAGAGAGAGAGAGAGAGTTGGTGAAGGGGTGGTGGTGAGGGGGAGGATACGATCGATGAGAGAGAAGAACACAGAGAGGGATTCATTATCACGAAGCGAGCCATTGTCGTTGCCGCGTCAACCGAGGATGCAAGAAAATGGGTCCTAGGTTCTGGTGCTACGATATTAAACCCTTTTACTACTCTCCCTCTCTCTCTTTCTCTCTCTCTTTCTTTTTCTCTTTCTCTTTCTTGCTTGTTTGTTCCTAATTGTGTTGCATTTCCAACACGAGAAGAATGTGTGTGATATCCACTTTCTTCTACCTCCTTCCCTGCTAACCCCCTTTCTTTCTTTTTTGTGTTTTGTTTTTGTTTTTGTCTTCATCGATTGTCAGATATTTTTTGGTTAATGTAATTTGTTTTTCTTTTTTTCATTTTGTTTGTTTGTTTGTTTTTTTTTTATTTGTCAACGATGATCAGTACAAACATTTGACAATTTATTATATAAGATGAAATATATATTGAATATTAATAATAATAATAATAATGGAAAAGGGATAGGAAA